GGCTGGCCCCCCCCATACCCACCATGTGTCCCCCCCCAGGTGGAGGGGAGCGGCGTGGTGCTGGAGCTGCCGCAGGGTGGCTGCCCCTGGAAGGAGCACCTTTTCCACCTGGAGCAGGAGCTGGAGCTGCCCCAACCCCTCCAGATGGTGATTTTCCCCGACCAAGGGGGGCAGTGGCGGGTGCAGAGCGTCCCCATGGGGCCACACACCTTCCAGAGCCGGTGAGACCCCAACCCAGAACTCAGAGGGTTGTCATTAACGGAGCAGGGTCGAGTTGGAGGCATCCCCCAGGGGGTCAATACTCGGCCCCATCCTGTTCAACACATTCATCAATGACCCGGACAAGGGGACAGAGCGTATCCTCAGCAAGTTGGCTGATGGTACCAAACTGGGAGGACTGGCTGACACCCCGGAGGGCTGGGCCACCATCCAGGGTGACCTGGACAGGCTGGAGAGCTGGGCGGAGAAGAACCTCATGAGGTTCACCAAGGGCAAGTGGAGGGTCCTGCACCTGGGGAGGAAGAACCCCAGGCACCAACAGAGGTTCGGGGGGGACCTGCTGGAAAGCAGTTCTGAGGAGAAGGATCTGGGGCTCCTGGTAGATGGGAAACTCTCCAGGAGCCAGCAATGGGCCCTTGTGGCCAAGAGGCCAATGGAGTCCTGGGCTGCGTGGGGCAGAGTGTGGCCAGGAGGTGGAGGGAGGTCATTCTGCCCCTCTGCTCTGCACTGGGGATGCCACAACTGGAGCACTGGGACCAGTTCTGGGCTCCCCAGTTCAAGAGAGACAGGGAACTACTGGAGAGAGTCCAGCGTAGGGCAACAAAGATGCTGGAGGGATTGGAGCATCTCTCTTAGGAGGAAAGGCTGAGGGACTTGGGGCTTTTTGGTCTGGAGAAGAGAAGGCTGAGAGGGGATCTCATCAACACCTATAAATACTTCAAGAGTGGGGGGTCAGGAGGATGGGGCCAGTCTTTTTCCAGTGACAGGACAAGAGGAAACGGGCACAAACTGGGACATAAGAAATTCCATCTTCACTTTGAGGGTGGCAGATCCCTGGAAGAGTTTGCCCAGAGAGGTGGTGGGGTCTCCTTCTCTGGAGACATTCAAACCCCCCCTGGATGAATCCAACCTGCTCTGGGTGGGACCTGCTCTGGGAAGGGGTTGGAGGAGATGATCTCCAGAGGTCCCTTCCCACCCCATGTCATTCTGTGAAAGGCTGAGAGAGCTGGGACTCTTCAGCCTGGAGAAGAGAAGGCTGAGGGGAGACCTTAGTGGTGCTTCCAAGGATCTAAAGGGTGGGTTGAAGGAGGATGGAGCCGGACTCTTT